CATAGTGACCTAGATATGTGGGGGCGTGTTAGAACGAGCCATTTTAGGTAGGTGTGGCTGACTTAACTTTTATAAAGAATATCTCTTTGGATTTGAGACTTTAGTCTTTGCAACTTTACAGATCTTCTTTATGCACCAAGGGCTTGTAACACTCCAAAGAGAAAGGAAAACTTGAAATCGCATCATATGACCCCTTTAAGAGCTCCGAATGAACTTTTTGAATTTGAAGATCAAGGTAAATTGTACTTAATTTGTCTTCCGGGAAACATGCAAGTATCTTCTTTTGCTTCCGAAGGGCAGTACTAAATGGGAAAAAATTATATTTCAGCTAAATAAGAAAAATTGGGACATCTTCATCCTGTTCAAAAGGCTCTTAATGCATCGTGTTTCCTTCTGGAGCATCAGTGAATGTTTGAACCGTTTTTAATAGTTCCACAAACAACTAAATTACAATGTTATTTTCCCCCCCGAAAACACATTAATCATGAGGTGTTTTTTGTGCACGCTGTTCTGTGGTTATGAGTAAGTGCTGAGATGATGGCTAAAAAAGGAAGCAAACCACTGGGAAATAAAACAGCTTCCTCCTCTTTTACTGTAAAAAGATGAATGCTGGACTGTCACAACACACTCACGAGCTGACAAGACTGCTGACAAATAAAAGGTACGTTTAAAAGTTAAAAAATAGTTTAACTAACTGTGAAATACTTGCATGACTATTCAAATCAGAAGATAGGGTGTTTAAGTCATCACAAAATCAAATTAAATAGACTAAATTGTATTGTAACAGATTCACTGTTGCTTCAGTCAACATATATTTCTAATTACATGATAATATATAATAAAATTGGTATTATATATCTTAAGCCACACTGTTTGTGCTGTTGTATATTACAAAAGAATTCACTTGATTTTATATTGGGTTATCTAATGAAATGATAATCACATTTTTAGGTGTGGCTGAAGTGTCTAAATATGTTTTGCGGCAACTGTAGATGAAAATAATGCAGACATTATAGTGATGAAATCATTAACCATTTCAAAATCTCTGTTCTTTAAGGTTATTGAGACGATGATGATGATTCGAGCTAAACTGCATCAACTGGCAGGAGGACTACGACGGGTCTGGTCCAGAATATGTGGTCTCTACACGACCAACACCACAAAAAGCTGGAAGGAAAAACTTCTCCTCCTGTTGACCTGTTTTAGCACCAGCCTTATTCTGAGCACCTTCTTCTTCCTCATCCTCCACTTTTCCTTCAGATGTGTTCAGGAGGTCTCGCTTCCCTTCACTTGTATTTTTTGTATAAGCTTAACACCAGCGATGTATTTCTCAGAAAGAATCCGCTGTTTCGGAGCCTTGGTTTTGATCTTGATGGGTATGAAACAAGCGAAGAGCCTTCTTCTCACTTTAGGAACCAGTTCGGTGATTTTCTTCAACATCCAGAACACGTTACGGAACGTGAGACTGCTTGCAAAAGGCCTCCTCTGCAACTTGGAGGAAAAGTTATTGGATATTAATACAGAACCCCTCGGGAATTATATTAAAATGCTAAAGTGGGTGGGAAAGCAACTTAAAAATTACTTTATAAACTTTCAGTTAGGGAGTTACCATGCAGATTTTACGCTAGAAGCAAAGGTGGACTCGGAGGACTTCAAAATTCATATAACCAAGGCCGAACAGGCTTTAAATCAGACCGCGCAAAATGTGTTAGCACTGACTAACGCTTTGTCTTCAATAGGAAAGCTATTGTCTCCAACATTAGGTCTTTTATTTCTTGTACTTCTCACTGCTCTATACCTGAGAAGATTCCACGTGGACAAAAAGTACAACAATATATACATCACCAAAACTTTCCGTTGTTTTGACGAGCGGCAAAGGGAAAAGGGAAACCCGTATGTCCTTCCGCTCACCAAAAGCGAATCGCAACGTTATATAGTGACTCCGTCCATTCGTCCGACGGGTCGGCGGTGGAAAGCCATGCTGAAGTTCAGTCTTCCCATATTCACTCACTGTCTCACCTGGCTGGTGTTTATCAGTCTAGACGCCCTGGTTTACTGGCTTATTGTAGTTCTGAGCAGGCGGCTTGGGGAACTGGAGCCACTTCGTGTTCCTGTGGGAATAAAAGTTCAGGTAAACAATGAAGTTACAGTATTGTTTTACAGAGAATTTGATATGTTTATCCTTTAATGTTTTTATTTTTTTTATAACTAAACTGAATATGAAAATAACTGTATTCAGCACTCTAAAGATGTTTACTCTAAAGGCTCTTCCCCGGTACGAGTTGTTCGTTAGTCTGGTTGTTTGAAGAGAAAAAGATGAAATGTCGTTGCAATAAACGCGTTAATAATCTGTACAACTACAGCAGCGGATTCTGCCACGCAAAACTGAGGAACAACTGATGACGGCTTAATGTTCGGCTGACCAATCAGCAGAAAGGGGCGTTTCATTCCCACCCATGTGTCGAAATGGAAAATTCAGGCTGTTTGTTCATTTTTCCACCCCTGAATGAAAAACAAATAATCAAGCCGAATTCTTGTTTTTCAGGGGGTTTTTTGGAGCCGTTTTCTCCTCCATAGACAGCAAGGTAACTACCACAGTAAAGGCCCAGAAAGGTAGTAAGGTCTTCATTAAAATAGTCCATGTGACAGCAGTGGTTCAACCGTAATATTATCAAGCTATGATAATACTTTTTGTGTGCAAAAAAACTAAAATAATGACTTTATTCAACAATTATATAAGCCATTATGGAGAGTACCACAACGCATGCGCGTGCTTTCCTCTGCTCGTAAAAAGGGGTTGTGGCTAGAAGTGATACAGCAAAAACCGGAAGCTAACAATAAATAGAATTTTCTACCTATTAGATTGTGTTTTATTAATGTCTACACCTACCCCAACCCTAAACCTACCACTTGCAAAAATAGTAATTTTTGTTGTACAGTGTGAGAAAAATTACGCTATATTGATGTGCGCATGCCCAGTAGTTTTTGCTGTATCCCTTCTAGCCTTAACCTTAAAAAGGCACAGCGCATGCGTGCGTTCTACGTCAGCAGCATCAAGCGCATGCATCGTGTTACTCTCGATAATGGCGGTAGATGGTAACTCCCGGGAGAAGAATTGTTTAATAAAGTAGTTATTTTTGTTTTCTTTGCGCACAAAATGTATTCTCGTAGTTTTGCAAAATTACGGTTGAACCACTGACGTCACATGGACCATTTTAACGATGTTCTTACTACCTTTCTGGGCCTTGAACGTGGAAGTTACCTTGTTGTCTATGGACGGTCAGAAAGCTCTCAGATCTTCCGAAGAGGAAGGACGATTGTACGGGTTTGGAATGACATGAGGGTGAGTAATTAATGACATAATTTTCATTTTTTGGTGAACTATCCCTTTAAGTTGTGCTGCTGTGAATGTAAATGTTCACTTTAGTTAGCTATAGAATCCGGTTTCACTTTCTGTCAAAACTGTCCAAACATAAACTATTTAGCACTTTAACCAGCAATACCCATCATATCTTTCTGTTGTGTGAACGTAACCACATTTATTTTTCGGATTTCTATATATATAAAAGCAAGGTACAGTAGGAAGGCCTAAAGAAACCTGTTTCACTCTTTTATAATCAAACCATTTATAACTAGATCCATATAATGGCAATCATATTTTGCTGTTTATAAATGTATCCACAGATATTGTACTTGTTTTGGTAAATACAGTCACTTTGGTTATAGAATCCAGTTTCACTCTCATTCATATCTGAATTGTGTGTGAACTAAAGAAAAGACAAATGTATTCTGCTCCAATTTGAACATAGCCACAGCTGTCATCTTAATTTCTGTATGTTTAAAGGGATAATTCACGCAAAAATGAACATTTGTCATAATTTACTCACCTTCATGTCATTCCAAACACGTATGACTTTCTTTCTTTGAAAAAAGAAAAAAAAGCAAATCAGTGTTTTTTGTCCATACATTGAAAGTTAATGGGGCCCAATGTTGTTTGGACCACAACGTTCTGCAAAATATCTTTTGTGTTCCACAGAAGGAAAAAAATCATACAATTCCAGATTGGCATGAGGGTGGATAATTGATGTCTGAATTTCATCTAGGTAATTATTTTCTTTCCATTTCTCTTTTGTTTTTAAAGGAGGCCACATTATTTCTAGGTTTACCTGTTGATGAAAATGCAAAAGAGGCAAACTTTTCCTACACGGTGTCTCTGTTTGAGAAGAAGTGTTTGCCTGAACCGGAACTGTGGCTCTATCAGTCTCTGGTTCCTCTGACTGTGGTCCTGGCCTTGCTGCTTGTTCTAATTCTGCTGTCATCACAGATGGTTCAGCTCAGGGTTTTGCTATCCGAGCAGTTTTTCTCAGATGTTGCAGAGAAAAGAGCTGCAACATATAAAGACTTGTTTTAGGAGAAAATATCATAAATTAAGTTTAAATTTATTACTTCGTATTCAAATAGTTGGATTTCTTCTTGCTTTAAGAATAAACCTCACTCAGTTTTATTCATGCAATTTGTTAATTTGAAATTAACAGTGAGGTAAGAATAATGCATTTAATTCAAAATATACAGGTGCATCTCAATAAATTAGAATGTCGTGGAAAAGTTCATTTATTTCAGTAATTCAACCTGAAAACAAGTCTGCAGTTTTGCTTCTCCAGAAACATACAGTAGCAGAAGGTGTATGTTGTTGATAGCCGCTGTAGTGTTGCAGCACACATTTGCATTGTGAATTGTGTTGTGATACATAAAAAAAAAAAAAGTACTTTGTGTGAAATCAAACTTTAGTAAGTTCTTGCAGGGGATGTTTTGGCCTTAACTGTTATAATGTACATTGTATAAACAAAATTATTTCTTTTTTGTTTTTATTGCAGCCCGGTTTTTGGTGCCCCTTACTCTTCCATAAGCAGAGGACAAACCTTGATGCTGTTTAAATATACTTGAAGTTTGCAACACACCAGCCATGATCGCAGGTTTGATAGAGTACATTGACAACACAACATTCACACTCCTTTTTATCAAAAAGTGTACCTTTTCATTGCACTGTAGAAAGGAGGTGTCCTGTCTGTGATCAGCATATAAGGGGCAAGTGGAAAATAGGCCATGGGGCCCTAGTGATCAATTTGTTCTGTATGGACCAAGATGCCCTAGTGGTTATCACTCTCTGTTTGTGACCGGGGCCATAGTTTTCATTTTACTCTTCAGGGGTTAACAGACTCCGATTGAGGTGGAAGGCATTGAGCAATGAGCATATGCATACGTTTTAAACTTGTATCCTATAGAATACAAAACATGTACACAACCGTTCAAAGGTTTAGGGTTGGTAAGAGTTTATAATGGTTTTGAAAGATCTTATGCTCACCAAGGGTCCATTTATTTGATCACAAATACAATAAAAACAGTACTATTGTGAAATATTATTACAATTTAAAAAACTTTTTTTTCTATTTTTTTTCTTTTTTTTCTAATATATTTATTGTAATTTATTCCTTTGATAGCAAAGCTGAATTTTAAAGAAACATTTCTTATGATCAGTGTTGTAAACAGTTAATATTTACTTGTATATATATATGTATCTAATGTATATATTGCGTATAGCATTCACTTGAAATATAAATCTTTTATAATATTATATATGTCTTTAGTGTCACTTTTGGTCAATTTATTGCATTCTAACTGAATAAAAGTAGCTTTTCTCAAAAAAATCATCTCTTCTCAGAGTCTGATCATGATAGAATATAAAAAATGTATTAAAACATTTTGTAGCTGAAAAAAAACAACAACAACAAGTGTATTTGACAATACTGTATGCCATTTTTAGTGGGTGACTTAAAACACAATTTACAGGAGTATCTCAGAACTGATCATTGTTCATCACTAATGCTTAAGTGGTCCTTCAGTCATTCTTTGAAGCACCATCTTTTCCACTGTAGAGGGTTTTTGAGTTCTTAAGTATATAGTTTAGGGTGGCCAGGATTTCTATATTGCCTAAAATATCTAGGTTTTGGCTTTGTTTGCGTGTGCAGACCGATCGGTGTATGACATCAAAAAACCTCGAGAGCATTTTGAAAGCATAAGGAACCGTCTGTATGGTATTTTGATGTCATACACCGATCGGTCTGCACACGCAAACAAAGCCAAAACCTAGATATTTTAGGCAATATAGAAATCCTGGCCAGGACGCGTCCTGGGAAAATGGCACGTATGGTCACCCTAATATAGTTTATTGGGGATAAAAACAGTTTGATGGGTTCTTCAGAGCAGTGCATTGGTTTCTGGGTTCTTTGCAGCACCAAAAAGTTGTTTATTATAAGTTTCTTCTGTGGCATTAGGCTGTAAAGCCCTTTTTTGGTTGTAACTGGAGTCTTCGTTTTTAATAATATACTGCAAATCTATCTTATAAAACATCCTTATAAAACATTTTTCTACCATGATTCAGAATCTTTTTGGGGCTACAGATATGATTTCTCCAGTGTACGGTTCTCTGCACACAGCACTGGGCTTTCCAACCTAAAAAACAAAGACAGAATCATTAATTACAGTTCATATTGCAAAGAATGACCACACTTCCAAATTTTAGGGGATGTTGGGCAGTCTTACAGCAGAGCCCAAACTTGTCTGACCTTTTCCCGCTGATTAATTCTCTTATACACAAATTCAGCGAAGGGTTTCCGTGGGATGTATCGTCCCGCGCCCGGGTTTGTGAACAGTTGCCCGTTTTCATAAACCACCTTCCCCCTGGAGATCGTGACCACTGGAAGCCCATGACACAGCATTCCCTCAAAAATGTTATAGTCCACAGCCTGGTGGTGCGTCTTTGCTGAAATCACCCTAAAAACAACATAAGATTACACAAATAAAAACAAAAGACATGAATATATGCAAGTTAACTTACTGACTTACATTTATATATAATGGCATTTATATATAATGTAAACCAGTGTGTACATATATAATTATTAGCAGTACTGTAGGCTATTGCCCAGCGCATCCTAATGTATTAAAACAAATACTTTAATAAAACAGCTGAAGAACCTCTGAGCCAATTTAAAGTGTGTAAAATGGCAAACTACAGTTTTTCAGACCAAATCTGTTTCCCATATTCAGCTTATTTTTTTAACCATTCTTTTGCTGTATCAGCACAGTTCAAAGAATGAGCTCTGCGTGGCCATCTGTCTCCAGCACTGAGACAAACCAGCAAAAATAAGAGTTTTCCCATTAAGATGACTGCAGCTATCATCTTAAAAAGCTAATTTAGAAAGATAGTTCAAGTTGTGGATTCCATCAACTGATACAGTGCAAAGGATATTAATTTTCACACTGTATTCGACTTGACTAAAAACTTGTCTGTACAACGTTTCCATTAACTGATTTATTATGAATAAAAATGGCATACCTTGTGAGCTACCATTTATTGTTGCATCTATTATAATGCTTTGAAAGACAATAAATATTCCAACATTTCAAAATGATGAATGCTACAGTCCCAAAATCGAGGGTAAAGGTTGTACTGCTTGAAATATATTGCCTAAAATATTGCAAACTCATTCTTATCTTCTGACAGCTTCTCTTTCACTGTGTCTAACAGTTTGTTTCTTTTAAGTTTTAATTTTTTATGTTGCTTGCAGAAAAACTTGGTTTTACATTTACACTTGGTAACAACTTATTGAATATTAATCGCTTGGTGCCTATGAATAACCCTTACAGGTGGTAAAATCATAACGCTTTATCTTAATAATTAAGGCTGGATAATTATGCAATTTCATATTTGAATTACCTGTTAGTCCAATCAAATGTGAGGTACAATTATGTTTCAATCTAAACATAAAGTGTAGGTTAATGCAGATATCGTGGACAACTGTCTTGCTTTCCATTACTTTCCGCTAAGAACATACAGTACATCCAGTTGACCCTAATTGTCTAATATGGACCCAGAAACGTCAGCGGCCTCTTACACAAGCACTCAGCTCTGATTAATGCAGTGCTGCTGTGTGCTACATTTCAGCACATTGCTCCTCGCTGCTTAACTCGCATGGTTATTTGCCTAGAGCAGGGGTGCCCAAACTCGGTCCTGGAGGGCCGGTGTCCTGCAGAGTTTAGCTCCAACTTGCCTCAACACACCTGCCTTCAAGTTTCTAGTATGCCTAGTAAGAGCTTGATTAGCTGGTTCAGGTGTGCTTAATTGGGGTTGGAGCTAAACTCTTCAGGACACCGGCCCTCCAGGACCGAGTTTGGGCACCCCTGGCCTAGAGGGAGCCAGCCCAGATTCACGGGGAAAAGGAGCAGCAACGAGGCCCAATTACATAAGACCCTCGGCCGTCTGCTGTTTCCGTCCTCTCCTCTCATGCGTGCGCTTTACAAACGATGCGTTTGAGCAGGAAGAACGCTTCAGTTTCTCCATTTATGGTCACATCTTTGCAGCCAATCCGCTGTATTAATGCTTCGTCATGGCAACATCTACCTCAGTACTTCCAGCACATATAGAACCTGTGTGACCCCATTCATGCAGAAACATGCTTAACCTTCAACCCAGGTATTTGAGCCTACAGACGTTTATACATTTCAAAGTGTTTTAAAGCAAACTTTACAGATTTAGTTTACTATTTATGTCAGGTCCAAATACGTGACTAAAGAAGAGAGGTGTATATAGATTTTATTTTTGAAATACGTCACGTAGATTGGCTCATTTCAGCTGAATAACAAAAACATAGCAATTAAAGTGATGTACAAAGCTCAACAACATTGCTGACTTATTCAATTAAAAATAAACTCGAGCACTCATGAAATGAAGATGAAAATAAAAGCTGAAGCCCATGAAATTATACAATCAAAACTTTATGCCACATTATTGTGAAACATTAAGACACTGATTTGGGCAATTTCATGTTAAGTATCATGCAGAATGTTTTTTTTATTTTTTTATTTAAAGATGTGTTTAAAAATGTGTTACAGAAATGCAAATAAGTAACTTGATTTTTACATTTTCTGAGTGCTGCTTGCATGTGAAGTGCTTGCCAGGGAGTTGCTATGTGGGTGTTTGGATGGTTTCTAAGGTGTTGCTAGGTCATTGCTTTCATTGCGTTAAATCAGCCTACACCCAGTCTCCATTATATTTTTTCTGTGGCTCAAGTGCCTCTTTCAATCAAAGTTTATAGGACAATTTTTCCTGTTTTATTATCCACCAGGTGAAAATTGAAAGTCTGATGACTAAGAAAAGTAAAAGTACACGTCTCCTCAAAAAGCAGTAGAGTTTCAGATATCATGTGTCCCAATACTTAGGGTTGGTGGTTTGTTTAAATGCCAAACCCTTAAGTATTCCTGAACTCTTTTACTAGTAAATAGAGTGCTGCAGCTATGACGTCAAAACCTGGAAGACTAAATCGCCATAGGATCCCTCAAGATTTTCCTATG